TTGTTTGTTTAAAGACAGTTCTTAAGTCAAATTTTAGTTTTGTTTGAAAAGTCTTTTTTTTTTTTTCTTGATTAAAAATGAGTAGAGTAAAATGAGGTAAAACTGAACAGCGGGAAATACTGAGCACTTATATTTATATATGATATTTTTAAATATTTCGTTTTTAAATGGAAATATTTAAAAATTATTTTGGTTATAAATTATAGAGAATTTTGTGCTCTATCTAATTAAATTTAAAGAAAACAAATGCAATTAATAATTTTCTTACCAAACTCAAAAATTTGAACATGAGTATTATTTTTTTTAAATTTTATTATAATAGCGAAGTAAAAATCTTGAAAATAAAATGAAATAGCATTAAAGTAAAAATACATATTTGTAATAAAAATTATGCTGATTAAGAATTTTTTCTCAGAAATTAGAAAATATTCAGGAAATTTTTATTTCCTGAAAAAGTTATAACAGAATTAGGGAAAAGTCATATATTTGGGTAAAACTGAACACTAATAGTTTTCACACTTAGCTAATATTCGCATGTAATTAATTAATTAACTTTTTAACTCTATCAATAATTACTATTCTTTATTGCTACTATTTCTTATTCTTTGCTATAATTTACTTAAAACAATTTCCTGTACAATTCAAAATGAGCTTAAATCTAAATGAAATTAAATCAGTTTACAGAATCAAAATCAATTCAAAATGCCAAAGCTTTATAAAAAAAAAACTAAAAAAAATTCTGAGGAGCAAATAAGTATGGCAGTTGGAAGAATAAATAGCGGTGAAATAAGTTTATGCAAAGCATCTCAAATATATAATATTCCAAAAGGTACCTTGTCAAATCGTGTAAATAATCGTATAAATTCAAAAGGGTCTGGTACAGCAACAACTCTAAGTAGTGCAGTTGAATTAAAATTGGTCAAAATGCTGGCAAAATTATCAAATTGGGGTTTTGGTAGAACACCAAGGGAAACCATAGATATTGTTGCCGATTATTTAAAAGTTACAAATCAAACCAGATTATTTAAAAATGGTTGACCCGGAAAAGACTAGTATTATCATTTTATAAACAGATGGAGATACAAATTAAGCATTAGAGCTGCAAGCAACATATCAACACTGAGAGGAGCACCTTCCACTAAAGAAATTGTAGCAAAATATTTTCAAACATGTGAAAAGCAATTTCTTGAAGCAAATATTAATGAAAATAGTGTGCGCAATTTATGGAGTTCGACAAAATTGGGTTTTTCGGTGACCAAGGCAGGAAATCAATAATTTGCAGACTTGGTGCTAAACGTCCATTAAAATTGGTCAGTAATAATGAAAAAATAAATTATACAGTTGGTAATTGCATCAACGCAGCTGGAACCACAATTCGACCATTTATAATATTTAAACAAGTCAAATCAGCGTCTATACAGCAGTTGGTGTTTAGGTGGTCCATCAAATGCTGATTATACAACTTTACCGTCAGGATGGATGGAAGATAAACAATTTATGCAATGGCTTAATAAATTATTTATAGCAACAATTTAAAAAACTATTAGTATTGGATGGTCATAACACACATGTAACATCAAGTTGCAATAATTTGCATTGAGAATAATATCAAGTTAATATGCTTACCAGCTCACTCCTCCCACTTCAACCATTAGATGTGGGAGTATATTGTCATGCCAAAAAAATTTGGCAAAAATTATTACAACAGCATTATGCTAGCACATTATGCAGCAATTTATCAAAAGAAAGTTTTGTTTGGCTTTAAGCCAAAGTTTTTAACAGTGGCGAAGTATTTAAATTATTTCAAATAATTGGAGGATTTCAAAATACTGGTTTATTTCCACTTAATATAAACAAAATCAATAAATCCAAATTACAAATTGCTGAAACATTTGAGAATCCATGTTGAAGAATTAAAAAAAAATATTGAAGAATTGAAATAAAAAAATAAAAAAAAGCTTAAACTTAAATTTTGTGCTGGTAATGAAGTTGAGTTACAACCTTTAAAGAAGCAAAAAAAAACAATTCTGGACAGCAACAAAAATGCAAAAAATGCCGTAAATTGTGGAATTGAAATGACGAAAATGAAAATTGTAAATGGTTTACATGTGAAAGTACAAACTGCAAAAGCTGAGTTTTTGAAACATGTTTACCAAAAAAAATAAAAAAAACTGATGAAGAATTTTATTGTACAAAAAAATGTTGAAACTCGTAAGATATCATCTTCTTGTAAATTATTTCTATTATTTTGTAAATGAATTGTTTTCTGTTTGTAAATTATTTTTATTATAATTAATAAAATTACCAATACTTTAACACGTTCACTTTTAACCGAAATGTCGGGTAAAACTGAATATTTTTATTTTTCAAATAAATTCATTTTACAGAAAACTTTCCATCATTTTTTTATTTTTATTTTACATATTCGGATAGAGCTCATTTTTCTCAACAAAAACAAAAATAAATAAAAAATTAATTATTAAGAGAAATGTTCAGTTTTACCCTGTTTTACTCTATTGTTTAAAAAACTGTATAAATATATTATAGGGATTAATAATCTCCAATATTTAACTTTTTTCTGTAATCTGGTTTGTGAACTTATTTATTATTTCCAAAAGCATTTTTTTTGTTATCAGCATAAATGCCTAATAAAAAAAAAAATCAGAAAATTTTTGCTATTTAAAAGTTCTAAATGGCATTAGTTAAGAAAATTTTGGTGGAATCTGTGGGTAATGAGTCAGGGTGTTATAAGACCTATACCTGACTATTTTTGTTAACAAGTCTCATTGGTCTGGATTTGGTGGTCTTTTGGGTCTACAATAACAAGACCCAGATCCATTTCAACTAGGTCTTGGTGTAGACTCAACTCATTAACAGCCCAAGTTAAAGATGATGCTGTGGCAAGCATTTGAGTGCTACCTACATATAGTTAGCAAATTCTTTGGCTTTCAAATTTTGAAAATCTTTTTGGTGGCTTATAGTTGATGTAATATGGTTGATAACAATGATGCAATATCTCAGATGCCATCATAAAAATAAATACAAATCAGCTTGAAGAGTTTTTTTAAAATGGCATGCATTAGTTTAAAAGCATTGCATGCATTATTTAAAAGCAAATGATGAAACATTCTTCAAGCTTTTTTCAAGAAAAAAAAAAAAGTCAAAATATTAAATTAGAAGCAAGTTCATCAAGACTTTTAACAATAGATGCATTATATAATCTGCATATAGAAGAAAGTTGAGATGGAAATATTTCTTTAATATTGTAATAAACAATATTTTGACACACTCAAATGAAATTTCAGTTATATATGCAACAAGCAACAGATTTTTGCCACCAATTGCAATTACTGAAGATAAAAATAAAATTTCTTTAAATAAAAAAATGCTGATAATGGTTAAAAAAGATAATGTATTTGTATAACAGTGAGTTAAGCTAAATAATTAAAAAAAAAATGAATTGATCCATAAACATGGGTTTTCTGTCAGACTTTTGATATTTTCAACAGTAATTTCAGTTTTTATCATAGCCAAAACTCCAACTTTTCATGTTTGAATTAAATAAATTTTAACAAAAAATATTTGTAAAAAATATTAAATTTTACTGCACTAAAAATATAAGAAAAAAATTTTTATTTTAATTTAAAATTTCAATATGTTAAATCCTGATTTATATATACGGTTAAATCCAAGTAAGTCAAACACAGACTGACTTGAACTTTTGTCATCTCTAACTTTTTTCTTTTTATGATCCTGTGAAATTTTGTAGTTGCTATTTGTAATTTGAAGCTTGTTGTAACTAAAAACTTGTAATTACTTTTTATAATGTTGTAGCTAGTTGTAACTAATAGAAATTCACTAATAAAATTCTAATTTAAAACTGAAATAACATCATTAACTTAATATTTTTTGTTTGCTTTTATACAAATCATGGCAGGGGGGTCTTAATAGATTATTATAAATAATATATGAGGCAATAAGTTCGAGGTTGGTTGCAAAGTAGAACTAAAACTTCATATAAATAAATTATTCACATAAAACTGAAATCATGACAAATGAGTTAGGTAATTCATGATTGTTGGATAATATACGACTTAAGTCTCAATCAAGCAGAAGGACAATAATAAATCAGTATTTTTGGCATGTGTGCACACTTAACAAGCTTTATTGGGCATATCAAGACATCCTAACAAGATCTAAAAATAATTAAAAAGAAAAAATCTGACTTTTTTATCTATATCTATAAAGATGCAAAACAAATGAATGAACTTTTTATTTATAATGTATGCACCTCTCCAAGGTGTAAAAGGTCACTACATTTTCAAAAAGAAATTTTTTTTTAGTTTTAAATTTTGGTTACACCTTTCTCATTAACTCTTTAACTCTGAAACAGGAACCTTGATGAACAAGGCCACTGTGTAGAGAAAAAAGTTGAGCACAGTAGTTCTTAAAGAAAATTGAATATTTGAAAGAAGATTTTTTTTTTTCAAAGAAATATATTGATAAAATAATTTTTTTTTAATAATTATAATATTTATGTTTTTAATTTATGAAATATATCTTACATTTTACCAAAATTTAAGGTATGAAACATATTATTTATTTGGGTATATTGGGCATCATAAAATCTGAGACATTAGATTTATGATGTTGAGTCAACTTAAATAAAATTTTTAATTTAAAACTTAAGTAATTTTTTATATAGTAAACTTAAAACAAGTAAAGCGTTTTAAGGTCCATCTTCAAAGTTATTAGGCTGGTATTTAGCTAGTAGATAAGCCTACATAGATATTTGCTTTTTTATACACAATCTCTCTCACACACATGTATATATAGACTTTTTTTAAAAACTGTTTTTAAGTACAACGGTAATATATATATATATATATATATATATATATATATATATATATATATATATATATATATATATATATATATATATATATATATATATATATATATATATATATATATATGTATATATATATATGTTTAAGGCTGTGCGTTTGTGCATACTTCAGCTTCTTACACCAATTGCAATCAATTATACTGCTGTTTTTCTTGCATCGATTGCTGATGTATGGCACAACATGCATGATGCAAGTACTTCAAAACTTGTTGGATTAACTGGTAAGGAATGGTTGTCATCAATTAACAAAAGATTTTTACCTGATATGTCTCAAGACCAGATGATACTGCTAGAAATTTCTCTAGCTATTAAGGTAATAAGATATTTAAATTTAAATTTGTATAAAGGTATCTTCACTTTTTACTTTTTTTTACTATTTTTTGATAGGCTCTTAGTTTAGAAAAAGTCATAGAGACAAGTCGACAGGTAGCTCGTCAGCTTTTAGGAAACAAGGAACGCTTACAAAATGGGTCATCACTTGAAGTGTATTTATTTCAGTTTTTAAATGAGCTACTTTTATCAGCAACTAATGAGGAACTCATAAACATCAAAAACTCCATTTTTATGTTACTTAAAGAAAGTTTACAATTAAATCTGTTACCTCCTTCGTTATTTGTATTATTCGGAATCCTAAATATTTTTGTGCACCGTGTTCCTTCTCCAGATGATAGACGTGCTCGCCGTGACTTGCAGGTTCAATTACTGACAATATATTGTAATATAGTATTAATTTAATATATATTAATAAATTTCACTTTAATGATGATGGTGATGATGATGATCATCATCATCATCATTATGACAATGATGATTATCATGATGATGATTATCATCACCATCATCATTAAAGTGATGATGATGATCCTGATGGTGGTGATCTTGATGATAATAATCATCATGATGGCAGGCTTGGTTGGGTGCGATCGCACTCTATTCCTGACCACTCAAATTTTATTTAGTTGCAACAACTTGGCCACAGCTTTTTAGATGTTTTGAGAACATATAAATTTATGTATGTTTCCATGTATGTCCAAAACTACTTGACATGCTAAAACAATTAAATTCATAAATAATTTTTTGTAATCAAATGATTTAATATTAGCAATGCATTTTTAAAGGGATCCCTAAGTGCTCCTAACATATGATCTCATATGAAAGAGCATAAAAAAAAATATGTAAGTTTTTTTTCTTTTTCACTAAATTGTAATAATAAATGCATGCTAACAAAAAGCAATTGCTGAAATCACGAAAAACAACTCCATTTTGATTTTATTTTTTCACCATTGAAACTCGATTGTTAGTCGTTAAAAATCAGTCACAACAACTTTAGAATATCTACTTCGATTTTCAAGTAAAAAAAAGTCGTGATTAAATAGTTAAGTTTTAATCAAGTTTTTTAAATTAGTTTTGCAAAAACATTATAATAGCATTCTGTTGAAAGACGTCGTTAAAAAAAAGTTATAAGTATTAGTTTTAAAGAGTTTAGAACTTATAAAAAAGTCTTACAGGGCTCGTATTAAGCGTATCGCGATTGCTACACACACTTTTGTGTTTAGTTTTTTCTTAAAAAAAATCTTTTCGCAATTTTTTTTTTTTTTTTGGTCGTTTAATTACTTTTTTTCTAGCTTAGCATTTTTTTTTAGCAATTCTTAAAAGTAATGTTTTTATCATAAAGAACGTCACACAAAATTTATTATTCTGAATAGATAGATGAATAGATGATTTGCTCTTTCGTGCGGAGATTTTCTTTCAACGTAAAACATTTTTGAATTTAAATTACTTTAAATCTCTACGTGGAAAATTTTTACAAGGTTGTTAAAGCAAAAAGTTGAAAAGTTGGTTTTTATCTTTGTTTATCAAAACTTCATGTTTAAAATAATGCTTAAAAACGTTAGAGCAAAAAAATTACTGACTTTTTATACTGTTTGAAAAAAAAAACTAATAAAAAAGAATTAATATATAATTATTAATTAATATATTATTAGTTAATTCTTTTTTATTAGTTTTTTTTTTCAAACAGTATAAAAATCCTAATAAAAACCAGCAGTTTTTTTTACTTTTTTAAGCCTTATTTTAAACATGAAGTATAATTCGATTTATTAAACCAAATTTTTTTGTTTCATCTTTTATTGGAAAACTTGAAATAAAAAAGTTGAATAAAAACATCAACCATTTAAATGAAAAACTTAATTATATTTAAACTTTTATTAGTCCTTTATTCAAGAAACAATAAATTATAAAAAACGTGGTATCTATTGACAATAATTTTTTCCCCCCATTACCGCACATCGGCGCGAGTTATAAGAGAGAGGGGGGGGGATAGAGCAAAAAAAGTTTTTTTTTTTCGCAATAAGATTTTTTTGCGTTAATTCGAGCCCTGACTTTAATTTAATTTCTAATAAAATGTCTATTCAACCTTATCAATTTGAACCAAAAAATATAGTAAAATTAACATAAATGTTAATTTAACTGAAACATTTTACAATAATTATTTTTTTTATCAAGCAAAAATGAGAGTAACCGTCACTTTTGAAACCATAAAAATGACTGAAATAAATTTATTTTTCTACTAAGGAAATATTTTAAATAAACTTTCATGTGTCTAAATCAATATTCATTTGTTAAAAACTGACTAAAAAGAGTTTAAAATTTGACTTCTATTCATTTTCGGCCGTGGATTTGCCCTTATAACACAAATATATAAATAAAAATTATAAAAAAAAATTTAATATACAAATATATTTTCACAAAATGCTACAAAACTTATTCTTGTAAGTAATTCCTTCTCGTCGGTTTCAAGTCAAGCCTCATTCTACTCCATGGTTTTCTCCTTCTTGTGCGGCTGCTATATCCAATCGTAACCATTTTTTTCATCTTTTTCAAAAGAACAACTCTCTTGAGAACAAACGGCTATTTATTATTGCAAGAAATCGATGTAAAAAGGTGCTTTCTGATGCTAAACTCCATTATTCTCAGTTCACTAAATCTCGCATCTTATCGCAGAAGTTAGGCTCTAAAGACTTTTGGAAAATCTTCAACAACATTGTTAACAAGGGTAGATCTAACATTCCATCTCTCATTCATGGGACTGATCTTGTTACCTCTCCCAGGGATAAGGCAGAACTGTTTGCAAAGAACTTTTCTTCTAATTCCACTCTTGAATCTTATGGACATTCTCTTCCTTCCATTCCAGTCAAACAGGTTGACCCATTGTTAGACATTCAAATCACTCCGGCTTCTGTTGCTAAAGTCATATCTCAATTAAACTCGTCTACAGCTTGTGGTCCAGACAACATTCCTGTCACAGTCTTGCAGAATTGTTCTCCAGAGCTTTCTTCAATTCTCTCTAAACTATTTAACAAGTGTTTGACTGAGTCTTGTTTTCCTGCTTGTTGGAAAATGGCATCTGTGGTTCCAATATTCAAAAACTCTGTAGAAAATTCTGACCCCTCCAATTATCGTCCGATCAGTCTTCTTTCTGTTATTAGCAAGGTCTTTGAGTCTTTGATCAACAAATTCCTCACATCTCATCTTGAGTCAAATAAACTGCTGTCAGACAATCAATACGGTTTTTGATCCTCTCGCTCTACGGCCGACTTGCTAACTGCTGTAACTGAAAGATTTTATTGTGCATTAGATGGAGGCGGTGAGGCTAGGGCTATTGCTCTCGACATATCTAAAGCTTTCGACAAAGTTTGGCATGCTGGTCTTCTCCATAAGCTTGCTTCATATGGTGTTTCTGGGAAAGTTTTTGAGATTATCAAATCATTTCTTTCTAACCTTATTAAAGTCATCCTTGAAGGCCAACACTCTTCTTTATTTCCAGTAACTTCTGGGGTTCCCCAAGGTTCCATCCTGGGCCCTGTTTTGTTTCTTATCTACATAAACGATCTTCCTGACAACCTTTTATCTAAAGTAGCTCTTTTTGCTGATGACTCAACTTTATACTCCTGTCTTGACAAAAAGTCTTCTCTTTTTGATCGCCTAGAACAAGCAGCTGATCTTGAATCTGATCTCACTTCAGTAATAGATTGGGGTTCACAGTGGCTTGTGAATTTCAACTCTAAAAAAACCCAATTGCTTACTGCAAACAACTACTGTAGTATGGTCAACATTCCTATATTAATGAATGGCAATCCTCTTACTGAGTCGTCCTCTTTACGTCTTCTTGGATTATGGCTTACTACTGACCTTTCATGGAAACCATATATACAATCGATTGCTAAATTAGCTTCTGCTAAGGTTGCTTCTCTTTATCGTGCTCGCCATTTCCTTACTTCTGATTCCATTCTCTACCTCTACATTCTCTCTTATTTGTCCCTGTATGGAATATGTATGGAATTGTCCCTGTATGGAATTGTCCCTGTATGGACTCTCTTATTTGTCCCTGTATGGAATACTGTTGTCATATTTGGGCTGGTTCTTCTAACGATTCACTTTCTCTTCTTGACAAGGTCCAAAAACGCATTGTAAATGTTGTTGGACCTGGACTATCTGCTAAGCTTGAACCTCTTTCCCATCGTCATAAAGTTGCATCTCTTTCTCTTTTCTACAGATACTATCATGGTCACTGCTCAAAGGAGTTATCATCTCTAGTTCCATCAACTAAAATTCATTCTCGTTTTACTCGTCATTCAGCTAAGTCTCATTCGTTTACTGTATCTGTCCCAGCATGCTCTAAAAACTTTTATTCATCTAGTTTTTTTCCCCGCACTTCAATCCTTTGGAACTCTCTCCCATCTTCATGTTTTCCTGACTCATACAAGCTTCACCTTTTCAAGTCTTCTGTCAACCGTTTCCTTGCTCTATAACTCTGTTCTTTTTTTTCCTAGTAACTCCCAACTTAATAGTGGTTGCTTGCAGCCTTGTTGGGAGTGAATGCAAATAAAAAAAAAAAAAAAAAAAATTATGTGTTAGTTGAAAAAAAACGACTTTACTTTTAAATTTAATTACTAACTAATGAGTTTGTAATAACGACATTTTGTTTACTTATTTTATTTTGACGTACAAAGTTCATTTTTGAGGCAATAGAGTCAATAAACTTTGGACAAGACGCATTTTTTTTAATCAAAGAAAAGCGTTTTTTTGAAAATTAAATTTGTTAGTGTGTGTTCATTATTACGTTTTAGAAAAAGTAATATACATCAAACTTTTTTTTTTTTAATGCTCTTTTATATGAGATCATATCTTTATAGCACTTATATTTTTTATTTTACTTTATAGCACTTATATTTTTTATTTTACTTTATAGCACTTAGGGATCCCTTTAAATTAAGCAATGATTTACTTTTATTGATTGTTTATAAAAAGAAAATTTTTAATTTTATTTTTCAAACTTTATAAAGTTAAGTGAGTTTCATTAAAAATTATAATAAATAATAATATAGATTAGTTTTTTATTCTTTTTTTTTTTTTTTTATTCTAAAAATGTCTTTTTAAAAAGTTTGTACAATCGAATCGAATTATGAGTGCCAGAGATTTTAACAAAACACAAACATACATTTGTATCAAGTGACTTATGGGTGAACTAGCAGTGCACCATCGATCCATACAGAACAAAAACATACAAATATATTAAAAAGTAGGGATGTACCGAAGCTTGGGCTTTAGCTTCGGTTGGGCCAAAGCCATGGGCTTTTTTTGCCAAATCATTGGCTTCGGCAAAATATTTTTAAGTTTCGAAGCATTAAACTTTTTTAAGATTCTAAGCTATTGGCTAGAATCTTTAATTACTTTTAAATATTTTTTGGTATGTTACAGTATTCTTGGACATTACTAAGCTGGCATTTGACTGAGGAAGACATTTTTTAAACGTTCACACGACGTCTGTTTTCAGAATAAAACTAAGTTGAATGTTCAAAATACTTTTTTTTTTCTTCTTCTGAGAAATTTAAATAAGCCTCTGATCTATACAGTTGTGAAGATTAAATGAATCCAGCAACGGCTTTTGGAGGTGGCAAGGCCGTGTTTAGGGCGGCCAAAAACGGCACGATAGCCGATAGAAAGTAAAGTTACTTAATGAAACACAATGGTTTTTTTTATAATCACTCAATATAACTGATTTAAACTGTAACATTATAGTAAACTTTATATAATTAAATACCATAACCCTAATATTTAGTTATGATCACTCGAGCTTAGCAATAAAATTTATTTATGCATTAGTTGGTAGTAAAATAATGAAAAAATAATTAAAATTTAATTTTTTTAGCATTTAGTTATTAGTTAGCATCAACTTCTAAAATGCGAGTTATATTAAATTATATATTTTTTAATATTAAATTAAAATTAAAAATTAAACCTAGAAATAAATCTTCGTTTGAAATTACTTAGATGTAACTAAAACCTCCGGATTTTAAGTAATAAAAAACATAGCGCATGAGATTTAAGAGAGTTAACTATTCTCTAAATTTTTAAAAATCTATACAAAAAGTTAATTTTAACGCACGAAACAATTTTTATTTAGAAAGTTTGTTTTACTAAGTCTTAATACACAGAAAAGCACAATTGAAATGTAAGTCAATGGCGTTTGTTTTTTATTTTGTACGCTGGATCATTTGTAAAAGTAAATATACCTGCTCTACAAATATAGGTTAATTGGTTATTTACGACTTCGATTTTTTTTAATTCAAATAATATTTGAATCAAAAAATTGAACGAATATTGTTTATTTCAATAAATATTATTAAAGGTAAAAAAATAATTAAACTTTATATTTCAATTTTCAGAATTGTTATTATAACTTTAAGTTATCCATTAGCGCATTATGGCTACCTCATCGCGAAGTAAAAATGATAAAGATGTTGGCAAAGCCATCTGCATACTTTGCAAGAAGATTTTGTCTAGAGGAAGTAAAGACACACACAACATGTCAACAACAAATTTACAAAACCATCTGAAAAAAGTACATTACAATATACATAGCATGATTCTTTCTCAGAAGAAAGTTGTTAACCACGAATCTTTACCAAATCCAAATGAAGTCTATAAAACAATTTAATATACAAATATATTTTCACAAAATGCTACAAAACTTATTCTTCTAAGTATTTATGTATTAGTTAAAAAAAAACGGCTTAACATTAAAATTTAATTACCAACTAATACGTTTGCAATAATGACATTTTGTCTACTTTGTTTAATTTGATGTACAAACGTTAGTTTTTTGAGGCATAGAGTCAATAAACTTTGCACAAGGCGCAATTTTTTTAATCGAAGAAAAGCGCTTTTTTTGAAAATTAAATTTGTTAGTGTGTGTGTTCAATATTACGTTTTAAAAGAAATAATATACATCAAACATTTTTTTTATGCTCTTTCATATGAGATCATATCTTTATAGCACATAAGGATCCCTTTAAGACTCTAAATTTCACTCTCTAAATTTTTGTACAAAATTTTTTTTAATTTTTTATAATATTGGTTTTGTTTTATAATTTTCCTAAAATGGGCTTGTAGGCCAAAACATTCAAACCTAAAACATTGATATATAATTTTAAAAGCAACTTGATTATTCAAACACTGAGGTGAAGTAAATTGAGCTTTAAATTACGTATAACTTAAGCCGAAGCTTCGGCTTCGGCAAAGTGGCTTCGGCTGAAGCTTCGGCTTCGGCAAAATTGCAGCTACGGTACATCCCTATTAAAAAGCCTACTCATTGTAAATATATTTTACCTTTTTAGTTTAACCATTACAGTTTGCTTTATAATAATTTGATGCAATAAAAACGTTCTTCTAGTTTGCAAAAGACAAAATAAAATCATAATTTACTTAGAATGAAATATGCAATTTTATATATTAATTTATAATATATATTATAGGATAATAAATCGATAGACTTCAATGAAGTATAAAGTTATTAAATGTATACATAGTGTGCAGTTTGGAAACCTATCATTATAGACTGCTGTTTTAGGGGTCTGGCGCATTGCGGAATTTTTTTTAACATAAAGACATCGCTAAAAAAAATAGTTGTTTTAATATTTTTATAGTAACGCAACAATTTAATAATTTCTTTTGTTTATCTTACTCAGAAGAATTGTTTTGAATATTTTAAACTTATATATTGCAAACTACAAAAAGTATGAAATGGTTATAAAAATATATTTACTTTTTTATTTATTATATAATTCAACTACTGTTGGTTTTATTAGAATCTTGTTGAAAAAAAACCATGAATACTTAAATAATTATATTATTTGCTTTGAAGAACGTTGGTTTTTTACTATACGATTATTAATGATAAGGGATCGTCCATAAACTACGTACCCTAGTAGGTGAAGAGAGGTTTGCAAATGGCCTATATGAGATGGGAGGACAGTTGATCAATTATAAAAGTAAGGAGACACTAAATTTAATCATAAAATGTTGGGTAGGTAGGTTAAAAGCCTAGATACTTTTAGGGAGGTGGAGGGTACTCAAAAAAGCGTATATTAAAATGTTAGGGGTAGGTGGTCAAAATAAAAGTACACGTACTTTATAAACGACCCCTAAGTTGTTACTTTTTAAAGTGTCGTTTTATTTTTTAAAAAAAGTTATAAAAGAGAGAATTTTAGAAATAATTTATTCTAAACGTAATTTTTTTTTGTTTTAATTTAGTTTTTTTCTTCGTTATGTTCTCAAAGCATCTAAAAAGCAGTGGCCATGTTGTTGCAACTAAATATTATATGTCAAATATAGAGTGTGATCGCACCCGCTCACATCACCATCACAGACCAAGTCTGTGATGATTATGATGATAATCATCATGACAATGTTGATGATGAAGATGACAGTTATCATGATATTTATCATCATAATGATGATCATCATCATAATGATGATTATCATCATAATGATGGTCATCATCATAATGATGATCATCATCATAATGATGATCATCATCATAATGATGATCATCATCATAATGATGATCATCATCATAATGATGATCATCATCATAATGATGATCATCATCATAATGATGATCATCATCATAATGATGATCACCATAATTATGATGATGATCCTGATGGTGATGATAATCACGGTTGCGATCATGATAGATGTACTAATTTAAAAAAAAATTAGTTAAAAACTTTAATTAATTTTAGGATTTAGCACAGAAATATGTAGAAAGTCTTAACAATATAGCTGGAGCATCATTGGAAGGATCAGCTTGGTTTAGAAAGAGTCTTCAGGTTATAGCTCATATTGATGATGATAGCCATGAAGAATCTTCAGTTTCAGAACGATCTTCTGTTATGGAAATTTCTCAACCAAGCCCTACAGGCATAATTAAAACATCACAGTTTAGTGTGCCAGCACTACTTATACTGGCTGAGGTAAGTATTTTTAAATGCATAATAATACCAAGAAAGTAAAACAAAGTTCAAGTTACACTTTTTTTTATAATCCTAAACTATGCTGCTAAGTATTTATTTATTTTGAATTGAATGTTCCTTTTTAACGCTTTTTTTTTTTTAATGCACTTTTGCCCAAATTTAAAATTGATTTTGAGGCTTGCCAAAGTCTTAAAAATTTTGATTTGTCCTATAAGTCTTGTAGTATGTCAATGTTTGAGAAATCTCAACAACTATTTTTCTTTAAAGATTATAACACAGGCCCACAAAATAAAAAAATTTCTATTTGCTAGGAAACAATAGGTTTTTCATATAATAGTTCTTATTTGGGTTTTAAATATGCAACCCAATTTTTTACCATCATTTAAAGTTGTAAAAATATTTAATTCAAATTTTAATTTGGGGTAAAATTGTTAATACTGTAAAAAAAAATTATTCAAAAGTATGTCAGCGTGGGTCTCAAAGAAGCATATTTTCACAGAGATTTTAATAAACATGAATATTTTTACTTAATATTTTTTAGTAAAAAAGTTTTGTAAGACAATTTTTGCAAACTGTTTTCAGCAGTAATATAAGAAATATTTATTTTTATTACAAATAAATGTAAAGCATGCGATCTTTAAATTCAGAGCAATTATTTTTATTTTAAAACTTGTCACTAACACATTTAAAAAATTTTTTGCGCAATTACATTAGGTAATAATGGTATTAATTTAAAAAAATCAACAAATGAGTCAAAATATTTATCTCAATTAAAATGTCATTGAAACAGTTAGAGAAATAAAAAATGTACCAACTATATACAAAATCCTTCTGCATCATTACTTTCAATGGCTAAAGCATCTGAATCTAATAAAACTACTGTTTATATGGCCATAAATTAATACAAGAGCTCTCTATCTATCGAATGAACAAAAGGATCTGGAAGAAAGAGTGACTCTAAGGATAAGAAAGCAGCAATTAGTATTTGACAATCATACACGCAAAATCCCAGGTTATCGAACAAAATTTGAGCCAAAAGGTATAAAGTTTCAGAGTTTTTTGTTAGAAAAGTTAAGAAATTTAACAATTTCAAGTCTTATTGAGCCATTAAATATCCAAACTGATCAGATAAGCAATCACTGAGCTCAAAAACTTTATGACAAAGTACTTACAAAATTTAATGGCTGCATAATTATGGATGATAAAACGTACATCAAATGTGAGTTCAAACAGCTCCCAGGTCCAACATTTTACACTTCAATTGTTTATGTTTGCAACAAGTTTAAGTAGAAATTATTGGATAAGTTTAGGAAGAAACTTCTCTTGTGTCAAGCAATATGCAGCTGCGGGTCAAGCTTTTGTCTCAAAATCTTGAGCTTTTATCACATTGTTGACTTTAAACTCGGATTTTTACATTGAAGATTGCTTGCAAGCTAGACTTTTGCCAATTTATTGAAGTCACAATGTCCTCTGTTGTTTCTAGCCTGATCTTGCTTCTTGTCATTATTCTATGAAGACCGTAGAGTAGTACAATTCAAAAGAAATCAAATTCATACTAAAAAACTTAATTCCATTAAACTGCCCGCAGTTCTGTCCTATTGAGAAATTTTTTGGGAATTGGCAAAGGATATTTGCATTAGAGTGGCAAAACAATAAGTACAGCTAAAGATTTGATTAGCGAGTGGACATTAGTAGGAAAAAAAATTGCCAAAGACACTGTGCAGCAGTTGATGTCCTTAATTAGCGTAAATTTTTGCTTATTTATTCAAAATAATGAAAAAAATTAAAATAAAAAGCATTTTTATAATCTTCAAGTTCCTTAGGTTAAAATAAATATTTTTTGTATTAGTTTAATTATTATTTTTAAAATTTTTAAATTTAATGATCGCATGTCTAATAATAAGACTAATTACAACTATAATAACAGCTAAAAGGTTATAATAAGGAAGGTTGTATGTAGTGAGTTAATTGTGTGATAGTTAGAGAGATCTGAGCGATCTCCAGAGTTTTTAAAAATTAAAACTACCAATACTATTTTCCAGAAGGCAGGAAAAAAAGATTCAGTTAAACACATTAAATAGTTTTCAAAGTAGTGAAGGGAGTTCTGTTCACATTTTGTAAAACTGTGGCAGAAATGTTGTCCAGACTACAAGCTGTAAAAGAGTTTAAGTGGGAAATAACTTTAATGGAAGTTATTTCCCAATTAAACAGAAGCAGGAATAACTTGGATATCTAACAATTAATGAATCTGTTTTTTTGGGATGAGAGAAAAGAGTGTGATCATTAGATTCAAAAGATGAATTAGAAGAAATATTTTTTGTTACAACCTAAAGTTGTAACAAAAAGGTCCTTGGTGTTGCTGTTGTTTTGACAATGGGCACCAATAGCACTAACAGAGACCTCTTTTATGAACAATATGGTCTTGTTAATATTCTGATAATAATAGGCTGATTCCATCAACAGCTGGTTATTTCAGAGTTCAAAAAACCTAACTACTAGCTGGCCTCAGAAACATTAAACTGAATTTTAAAGCTGTACCCTCATTAAGAGATAACAGAAGGAGTTACATAGCCACTAACAAGAAGGCACAAGCAAAAATCCACTAGCCAGCCTATTAGATAAAGAAGGGGTGTGAAGCTAGTTAATAGATTTTTCTGCTTACTCATGGAGTTTTTGCTTAAGACTCTATGAATAAGCCAAAGACTTGGTCTTCTACAAATCAGTAGCCAGATGCAGTTATCTGCCCAAGAAGTGTTTTTATTGAGTCATAATCTTTACATAACTAAGAGCACAAAGGCAGGGGTATTTTAAGTTAGTCAGTCATTTTAATTTCTCTCAGCCAAATCCTACAAGACATTAGGACTTAAAGCAGGTTGGACTAGATTACATGTTCTGTATAACAAGCAGAAACAAAACTAGTTACATCTGGAATAGTTCATATTATATATGACATAGTATTTGGTGTGCTTAGTATATTATTAGCAACTCTTGAAATTAAAGTCGTCATTCAGTAATGCTTAACTAGCTGCCGACCTAAAAAGTCTTACCTCGTTTCTTTTTGTTTTTTATTCATTGCGATTTTTGACTAAATTCGTTTCTATGTTCTATGTGTTAAAAATTTTGTGCTGATCTTATGTCGACGTCAAATAGTCAACATTTTTGGCTGATTTTTTTTTAATTCTGAGGGCTTCATTAGTTACACCATAATAGTTGTTTCAGCTAACAAAGCAAGTTTCCAGTAGCAGAGTCATTATATTTTTAATCCTGATGACGACCATGATCCTAATCCTGAAATGTTGAACATTTAATATTTATTGCCACTTTAATAATACTCTTTAAAATCAAGAATGTATCAAAGATATGTATCGGAATTTGCTAAGAAAATTATGCACCAATGGTGATAAATCTTTTTTTTGGCTCACAACACAAACAATAGCAATAGTATTTTTTACTCAAGCAAAATTGAGCAAACTCCTGTGCTAGTAAAATATAGAAAAACTATAAAATCCTACCAAAAAAAGCTTGTCTGATTGTGCATTTCTGATAAAGGGGTGTCAAAACTGTACTTTTTTCCCCAATGGTCTTGTATCTAACCATAATCTTTGCCTGAAGCATTTCATCAAGAACCTCTTTTGTTTTATTTTCAACATCCTCGTTTCCAACAAGGCTGCAAGCAACCACTATAAGAGTTACTAGAAGAGAAAAGATGAAGTTTGTAAAGCAAGATAATGATTGACAGGCAACTCAAAAGATTGCAAATTATATGAATCAGGAAAACAAGATAAAAGAAGCAAATTCCGAAGAACCAAAAAAATTTTTTAGTACTTAGGAACTGTCACAGAAAAAGGATAAGACTTAATTGAATGAGGAGTAACAAGAGAATGGTTTTTAGTAGATGGCACAAGAGATACTAGCTCTTTAGAGCAGTACTCTAAATACGGTTTATAAGAAAGATCAGAAGTAAGAGTTAATCCTAGAAGATGAAGTGTAGATTACTCATCAAGTACATTACTGTTCATAAATATAGGAAGATCTAAATTATTGCCATAATGATTGGTTAGTGCCTGGTTAACGATTGGTTAAACCTGTTAGTGCCTTTTATAAAAAGCATATCATAATGATGACTAAATCTTATTTTGGCCTGACCTAGCTTTATCCCATTATGCCAAAAAGTGGCATAATGTCATTCTTTGAAAAGAATTCCATAAATTATGTGGATAAGGTTGATAACCTGTCAAACAAACCAGAGTGTCATCCAATTGAGGATTTTCAGAGTATTCTAAAAAGAATGGTCAATGTAACAAACCGACAGGCAAATTATTTTTAGCTTAAAAACTTGACAAGTAATAGTAACTTATAAATTTCACAGAAAATCTATTATGTTTGAATATTTTTTCAAAAGGTTTAAATCTTCATTAAAAAATATCTGACGTTAACCTGTGAAATTTTAGTAATTTTTGATGCAAATCTTGAACTTTAATTTTACAAAAACTTAGCTAAATACAGTTAAACCAATTCTGTCTTTTAAATAAAAAAATAGTAAACAACCACGTTTGAAATTTGACAGGGGCTAGGGCCAGGTTTGATAAAATATAGCCAGGGCTGGGTTTGTGACCGGGGCTGCATAAACATTTATACATCCTAAAGTTTTTTTTTTTTTTTCGATTTTCATGTTTTATTTTATATATATAAACGCATGTATATCGATTGTTTTTTCAATATTCATGTTTTAATATATATTCATGCATGTATATACATTGTTACTTATATATACATTGTTATAATTAACATCATCGTCATCATTAAGCTTTAGCCTTCCAAATTCATGCTGTTTCTCTAATATAATCTTGAGCATCTTCTTTCCTTAGCTAAAGCTCGATCCTACAATATGTAATGTACTCTTGCTTCCTCTCTACATGCTGATACCCAAATCACTTTAATCTTCTCTGAAAAACGTTTGAAACAATGTTTTTTTCTAATCTCTGTCTAAGACTATGCCTCCTTTTCTTGTCTTGTTAGAGTCATACCACGCACCCATCTGATCATCTTTTCATTTACCAAATACTTCACCATATAAATACTAAAGTTTAAATAAATATGTAAGGGTATTGTATGCCAGCATCTAAATTAATAGCGAACATATATGTTCGTATCCGTATATATTCATATATGTATGCATAAATTTGCATTTTACCCAACCTCCCGGAACCAAGCAGGTATGGAAACTTTTATTCCTTCTCTTTGGTTTTAAGCTAAGCATCATTCTACTCCACGTTTTTACCTTCTTGTGCAGTTGCTATGTTAAACAGTAATCCTTTTAAATATTTTTTACAAGAACATCTCTCTTGAGAACAAATGTCTTTTTATTATTGTAAGAAGTCAATGCAAATAGATTCTGTCTGATGTTAAGCTCTGTTATCCTCTAATTTGTCTCTTGAATATTAAATCTTCCTGCTATTCCATTTAAACATCTGGCCTACAATGTGGTGGTTCTAATTTTTTTAAATTCTAGGAAACACTCTAGCGTCTTTTTTATATCCTACCTCTACTCGGGGGGGGGGGGGGGGGTCTTGCTGTGGCTTGTGAATGTGAACTTTTTTTGGGCAACAAAACTCATTTATTTATTGCAAACAACTTTTTGGGCAACAAAACTCATTTTGGGCAACAAAACTCATTTATTTATTGCAAACAACTATCACAATACTGTTGACATGACGATGTTGACAACCCTCTCAGATTATTGATCTGATCACTCTTCTGTCAACAGAAAATTCGTTTTTAGATAAAGTCTAAAAACACATTATAAATGTGAGACCTGCTCTATTTGCCAAGCTTGAGCCACTCTCCCATTGATATTGGTTGCATTTCTCTTATTTTTTCTACATATACTATTATGGTTACTGCTCAAAAGAGCTATTGTAGTTCAATAAACCAAAACTCATTCTTGCTTCTTATTCAGCAAGTCTCATTCTTTTACTGTGTCTGTCTCTTCAGTAAAGTCAGTAGCTACTGAAGCACAAAGAGCATCGAGTTTAATAATATGAATTTTTATTTACATGAGTTCTGACAGTGAAAACCTTATAATTGACACTAGTAAAATCTCCTCTTGTATTTGAAGAGCCAGTCTGGAACCCAGCTCTAAAAATTGACATTAGAACTTGAAAAGGTCCAAAGATGAGCTATAAAACTTATTCCTGTACTTAAAAACTTAACCTATGAAGAGAGGGTTTATTTAATTATTTTTATCTTTATTTTATTATTTTATTTAAATTAATTTTAATGACCTAAGAAGATTCCTTATCTATAGAGGATTTAATATATCACAATAAATTATTAAACAACTTACAAATTGTGCATTGGTTCAAAATTTAATTTCCTCAATAAAAAGTAATGGACATACATCGAATTTGTGTGGGCATTCTAATAGAATCAAACGTGAAAAATTTAAGTGTTCTTCAAGAAATAACTTTTTTAACAATATATGACAACTATGACCATTATGTTGTTGACTGCTATGACAACTATGTTGTTTACTTAAGGTCCTTAAACTGTTTTAAGACTATTTTGAAAGTTTCAAGCAATAGCAGCTGTTATAGCAACTTTGCATGCTCTGCATTAATGCATATTGTTTTTACAACAAAAAATGTTACTATTATTACTGTTATTATATCTTTAATTTGTATTAAAAAATGTTAAATTAAATATTTAACAGATTTTATTATACAAACTTTATTCAGATATTATTGCAGGTTTCCAACTCAACCTGGAATTTGGTTGAAATTGAAGATATTAAAATCAACACAGAAATAAATATTAAAAATTGAAAATTTAGTTTTAAATATTTTACCTAATTTAGATAAAATATTTTTACACTTTTTCAATAAAAAGTACTCTTTAAAAAACTTTATATTAAATGTTAATGTTCAGAACTGCTTGCACCTAGCTCAACACTTGTTACGTCTAACATTATGTCTTAAAAAACTAGTTACACCTGGTATAATTAATATTATATCTGACATTTATATCTGACATTTGTTGTACTTGTTATAGCATCAGTTACACCTATTACAATTTTGTTTAATCATAAACTGCTGACTTATTATATATTTTGCTTCAATTTTTTAGTATTTCGCTTCAATGTACGATTTGCTTTATCTCAGTGAAGAGAAGGATAAAGTAGCTGCATCTCTGGTGTATTTACTCTATAATGTGATTCCATATTTGAAAAATCATAGGTTGTCATTTGATTTGCTCTCTAAAACTCTGCTAAAAGTTTTTTATTATTTTCTTTATTATGACATAGATCATTTATTGTATTTTTTTAATTTATGTTTATAGCCAACAGAATGTTCCAGGTTACCGTGCATGTAGCGCTTTACTAGCAGCTGTTTGTGATTACCAATATACGCTTCGCGCTTGGAAAAAAGATGTGTATGAATTATTTTTAGAAGCTGAATTTTTTCACATGGATTTAATATCATTAGAATTTTGGCGAACGATAATTGATCGTTTAATAACATATGACAGTACAATGTTCAAAGATCTAATGCAAAAAATTGCCCTCTCTCAAAGTGGAGCTATAAATATATTTGCAAATAGAGAGCAGGTGGGTGTATAAGTATATTAACAAATTTAAAACTGGCTGTTTTGTTTTTATAAAGTGTACTATTTTATTTACATCCAGATTTCAACTTTGATAAAGTGTTTAACTTATTTAAATAATTGTTTTTTAAATTATTTTACTACTTTTTATTAACATAATATTGTGATACATCAGTATAACATATATTACAGTATAATAATAAAAAAAAATTCAAAATTCATAATAGCTATTGTTAAAAATAAAATTAAAATCTAGAAACATAATAAAGATAAATTCTATTTTTTTAAATAAATTTTATGTTTTGGAGTTATAGATTTAGGAGAGGGTTGTAACCACGATTAATTAGTCTCCTTGACTGTAGTGGCCTTTGTTGCCTTGGCGCATGTAAATTAATATAATATATATATATATATATATATATATATATATATATATATATATATATATATATATATATATATATATATATATATATATATATATATATATATATATATGTATATATATTTGGTGTGCAAAATAATAGGTAATTGTAAGCATAATGCGTCTATCACATCATTTAAGAATTTGCTTGACATAAACGCGGGAAACCCCCATATATTTATAACCTCGCTCTCTTATGTATATTGTAATAGAAAATAGTAGAAAAAAAAATAAAATAAAAA